GACCGAGCATCCTTTGAAATCGCTTGACGGGGGCGCGCGCGCCCGCTCTGAACGATGTTGCAAGGCGCCGGATAGTGAGCGCGCGCTCTGATGAGAGGCGCGCCGTCATCTGCACTGAGTCTAGCACTATTCCCAGAAAAGAAATATTCTGGCTGGGGGATAGCATGCTCTTTGCAAAATTGATTCTTAGACCCAGGCATTCTAGATGACTGATAATCCAAGACCTGTGTGTCACTAACTGGCTCTCTGATTGTGCTAGGACTAGCCAATCGTCGAGATAATTCAGTATTCGCACTCCCCGTTGTCTCAGGGGGAAAAGTGCTGCATCTATACATTTCGTGAATGTACGGGGTGCCAGTGACAGGCCGAATGGTAGTACTGTGTACTGGTATGACTGTCCCTCGAAAGCGAATCTCAGAAATGGCCTGTGATGAGGCGCTATCGGAATGTGAAAGTAAGCGTCTTTCAGATCCACTGATAGAAACCAATCCCCCGGGCGAACTTGCGCGAGGATATGCTTGGTTGTTAACATTCTGAACGAGCTAATCATTAAAGCTTTGTTCAGATGTCTGAGATCTAGAATGGGGCGGAGACCACCATCCTTCTTCGGGACGAGAAAATAGCGACTGTAAAAACCTGCCTCGCTCATAGAGGGAGGGACTGTTTCTATAGCGCCCTTCTCTATCAGTTTGAGCACCTCGGCGCGTAGAACATGTGAAACATCTTTTCTAACTTTCGTCTCGACCACCGCCGTGAAGCGGGGCGGTCTGCGAGCGAATTAAAGCGAGTAACCGTGTTTTATTATGTTCAAAACCCATTTCGGCATGCCGGGGATATTTTCCCAAGCTTTCGCTCGCACAGATATGGGCTGAATGCTGGCTGGGGGCGTGTCGCAGTGACGTATGGCTCCCGCCAGCAAATCGCCCTGTGCTAATACTGAGCTTACAGCTCTCAGAGGCGCGGGCGCGCGCTGAGCAGCTTTGTTGAATGCCGAGTGCAGGGGTGCGTGTGAGATTACAGGCACGCTCGCCACATCCGTAATGCTCACAGTGTGAGTTGGGGAAATGTTTAAGACTGTATGAACAGTGCTTATGGGTGGGGGTGCATAGACTGTGGTAGGCACGCGCGCCACTTTCATAAAACTTCCCGCTCGTGGCGGGAGGTTTTTGGCCATATAAACAGTGTTTGTGAGTTGGGGTGCGTGCATAACAGCGGGCACACGCGCTACTCTTATAGAATTTCCCGCTTTTACTGGGGAAGTGTTTATAACTGTGGGAACAGTGCTTATGTGTAGTGGTGCATACATGACAGTGGGCACACAATCTACATTTATGGGGCGTCCAGCCTGAGCTGGGGAAGCACTTGGCACTGTTTTGACAGTTTTGATATGTGGGAATGCGCACTTTAGTGTGGACACGTGACCCTTTAATGACACAGACAGAAAATGGCTCTTTTTGTGATTTCTGTGTGTCGCCGTAAAAACGGCGTTTGTTTGCAGGTGAGCGAGCTGCGCGGCAGGTGAGCCTTATCTGCATCCTTCATCTCTGTTAGCGTCAGCCACAGATGGCGCTCAAGGACAGTCAGGTTAGCCATGGCACGGCCGATGGATTGGGCGGTGGCTTTTGTGGCTCGCAGTGCTATGTCGGTGGCGCTGCGCAGATCCTTGAATGCCTCAGGATCAGGTCCAGACTCGTCCATGGTGCGGAGAAGTTTGGCTTGAAACACTTTGAGGACAGCCATGGAGTGAAGCGCTGACGCAGCTTGGCCGGCGGCGGCGTATGCGCGACCGGCGAGAGCTGAGGTAGATCGGCAAGGCTTCGAGGGATGATAACCTTTGGCTTTCCATCCAGCGGTGGAGGGTGGGCACAGGTGATTGGCCACAGCCTCCTCGAGGGGCGGAGTCCCCTCGTAGCCTCTTTCTTTCGCGCCGTCCACAGAGGAGAGCGACGAAGAGAAAGAAGGCTTCAGGCGAGCGGAGTGCGGGGCTTTCCACGACTTCGTGAGTTCGTCGTGAACTTCCGGGAAGAAAGGGGAGGGCCTTTGCCGAGGAGCCTGCCGGCGCCCCTGCAGGAACCACTCGTCCAGTCGGCTGCGGGCGGGTTCTTCCGGGGAAGACCAATCGAGCCCGAGGTCTTCCACGGCATTAGACAGGATGCGGACGATCTCCGAGTCCATGCTGGAGCCCACGCTCGTGCCCGCTAACGTCGATGGCGCGGGGTCGAAGGACGAGCCCGGCCAGTCGTCGGATGCAGCATCAAAGGAAAGCGGTCATCCTTTTCGTCGTCATCCCCTGACGCGCCAAACGAGACGAGACCCATCGCTCTGCTGGAGGGGTGCTGGTCCGCCTGTGTGAACTGGACTGGCGGCGGGGAGTCTTCGGGTGGTGGTGAAGCACACGGGGATTGGCCCGGCGTGACATCACTGCAAACCGCGTGCTCTGGCGGCCTCTGTGAGCGGCGCTTCTTCTTGCGCGGCTCGACCAGAGGGGATGGTAGCACGGGGGAGGTGGGCTCTTTCGCCGCGAAAGCGGCGAAGCGAGCGCGCAGCTCGGTGAGGCCCAGGGCGTCACACTCGGGGCATCCGCCTCAAGTAAGGGCAGCCTCTGCGTGGTCCGGTCCCAGGCAGCGGTTGCAAATGATGTGACGATCCCCGTCCTGAAGAGGGCCTCGACACGAGGCGCAGGAAGGCATTTGAAACAACGCCCAGTTAATTTGCTCTTTTAGAAAAGTGTCGCGGGGGCGAACACTGGTAGCTTTGAAAGGATATAGGTGATGCGCGCCGGATGGCTTAGCAGAAGTCGATCGAAGGCGGCTGAAGGCGCCAGCGTCCTCGAAGCAGTCCTGCTGTAGGCTTGTCGACGGCGGCGGTGAAAAGACTCCAAAAATCCGGAGGATCCAGCGAAGAGAAGGTCTTTGCTAAAGGAGATTAAATGTAAAGAACTCAGACGACGGGGCGCCCAATATATAGCCCTTGGCCACGCCCATCTTGGCGGGCTCTGACGCGCGCGGGCGCGAAGCACGCTCATTGGAAGCGGGTTCAGAGTCGCCCCGTCATAGGTTCGTGCAGTTGCCGCAGCACAGCCAATGACTGAGCTGCCTCGCTCATTGCTGTATGCTGTGCAGCTGCAATGCATTTTACATAAAGACTTCAATATTTCTCGAGAAAAGGAGTTTTCCCATAGCGTAAGCTACTTACGCAATAGGAGGAACCTCTCGAAAGGGAATCTGGATCTTTCAGACAGTTCATTTCAACGAACTGTTTAAAAAAAACTCAAAATTTAAGTCAACTGCATGGTTTACACATGATGTATCAGCAGCTTGTCAGTTCTTCGCAGGCATGTCTGAGTGTGAACTGTTTCCTTAGTTTAATGTACTGGTGACCCGAGAGCTGTAACAATTAACCAACTCTTGACTCGAGAAAGAACTGTTATCATCACTGTACTGCTATTTACTTGAGAACTACTGCCATCAGATCACCGTTATATTTTCAATTTGTTTTATTTGTTATACTCTATGCTTTTCAGCAAAATACATCAGAAACATACATTTTGTTGCCTTTATGAAACCCTCGGCAGACAGTACTTTTGGAATAACTGGAGTGTTGAATGAGTTGGCAGGAATGACTATTAGGCACGTCCGAAAGTGAGTTTTGATTGAGCAAACTCGAGGCACAAACTTTTTCATTTTGTAAACTGAAAACAGCAATAAATAATGCACAGTTACTTTGAGATACAATGGTAGTTATTTTAGTGTATTAAAGAGCTCTTATGTGAGGTTTAAAAATGATTGCTGACCCTTCAGGCCAATAATCATCATAACAACCTTGCATCCATTGTACTGTCAAACTAGTAGCTGTTTAATCAATGTTTATTTAGCTGTTTACAGCATGTGGCACACATTCATATATTGTATTTAGCTATTGTCAGCAGCACATGCTTTATTCATAGGTTGCCATGTTGCGATTTTTAGGCATTATTAAGTGCTTTGTTTTGAACATATTGCTCATTGTATTATATGGTCTATGGTCTCTGCTGGTTCAATCAAATGTATTCTTTTTTTATTGAATTTACTTCTCTTGACTTAAGCTGTGCCTAATGATAGGGTTTGGTGATTTACACACACACACACACACACACACACACACACACACACACACACACACACACACACACACACAGAACTGTGTATCAATAGGGACTCCAACCTCCTACCTCTTTCTTTCCGTTTCCCTCCGTTTTGATTTAATGAGGCATGGAATGATGCTGTGGCATAATGTTGAGCAGCTGCAGAACGTTGAACCTACAGAAGGCACACATATCCGCACACAAACACAGACACACAACAGTGAATTCTGATCTCAGCATTCAAGACATGTTCTGCTCACCTGTCAAAAGACTAATGTATAAACTTAGAGAGAAGCAGCACATCAAACATCAGTTTACATAAATACCTGACAGTAAAATAAAATGGTGTTTTATATACATGTACATTAAATCTGGATCTACACAAATCTATATGCTCATTAAATAAAAGATTAATTTAAAATATTTATAAAATGGAGTATTCCCAAACCTTGTTGTTGAATGTTTTGCATTGCGACTCGCATTGTGAACTCCACCATTTTCTGTTTTTCCTCATTGAAATAAGGTTTTGACTATTGCAATGTGACGTCACTGATGGAGATTCTCTGTGCTGAACATAAAAGACCCAATTAATTCTTGACTGTTTACTTCTAAATTTAATTGATTAGTTGTTGCAGCACTATATCTTGGCTCATGGGAAATGTAGGTAGTACAGCCATTTGAGAAAAACAAAAGCTAGTTCTGATTTAGACTAAAAGCAATACGCAGAAAAGGTCTTATCAAGCCATTTATGGATCTATAGTACATTTTAAACATGAAGTCTGGTCTAAATATAAGGCTCAGTAAATGCTTATTGCGTGTCAATATTGAATGTTCACATTTAATGTTAACTCTGACGGCAGATATTATGTTGTGACAGGAACTCAGTTCTGGTGTCTTCTGGATATCGTGCCCATTAAGAATGAGAAGGGAGAGGTGGTGCTCTTTCTAGTATCACACAAGGACATAACAGACAACAAGAAAGTCCAAGATGAAGAACAGAGCCCAGAAAGAGGTGAGTGTTGCTACCTTTATGATGGGATTTATCAAGCAGGATAAATACAAGTTTCAGTTAAAACCAACAAAAAACAATATCAGTAATCAGCCAATGTTAAAGTTGTTTTTAATTTATTGGTATCAGTATATACTATTATTGTGTGTGAGTGTGTGTGTGTGTGTGTGTGTGTGTGTGTGTGTGTGTGTGTGTGTGTGTGTGTGTGTGTGTGTGTGTGTGTGTGTGTGTGTGTATATATATCATTTAATTTAATTATACTATATATTTAATTGTCCCTATTTTTACGTGTATTTTTGTTGTTGTTGCTGTCATTTCGCTCACAACCCTCACATGAGAAAACCCTCAATTTAAAAAATATATATTTACAATTATTTATTAGTATGTAATTTATCAGCCATTACATTTTTTTATATTGGTGTATCCCTACTTTTTATGCTCTAGTAAACCATCTATGTACTGGTGGTTTAAAGAACCCAGACACCAATACACTGATTCCTGCATATTTTCTTTCTGCTTGTTAATCCAGTCTCTCAACGCACTAAAAACACAGTTGCACTGTTTTGTGTAGAACATAGAAAACAATGATGAAAAGAGAGAAAAGTCATAATGAGGGGAAAAAAATTACTGTATACAGTAAAGGTAGGTACCGAAGCAAAGTGCTATATAACAAAGGGAGTATGGTTTCAAAAGGGCAAATTATCTTTTTATACAGACAGCAACACTTTTAGCCTTGTACGGGATGCTCTACAAGGCGTATTACAGGATAATTTTGCCTATTTACGCCTGGTCCTGTCAGTGTCATACTTAAGCTCATCCTATCCTCTATTTCTCATTCCCTCTCACTTCTTGGCTACTGAATCATGTGTTGTGGATGCTTCGATACAGGCCAGCAGCATCTCATGTGGTGCTCGCTGTTACAGTAATCCTGACACTTCTCCTCCCAGAGAGAAAGAGAGAGAGAGAGAGAGAGAGAGAGATGAGAGAGAGAGAGAGAGAGAGAGAGGAGAGAGATGAGAGAGAGAGAGAGAGAGAGAGAGAGAGAGAGAGAGAGAGAGAGAGAGAGAGAGAGAGAGAGAGAGAGAGAGAGAGAGAGAGAGAGAGCAGTATACTGATAAAGAGAGAGAGATGAAAACACACACACAAGACACAGGGAGGGCCGGTAGGAAAGCTTGGCACAGAGGTTTGAAGCTCCCTTTAGTGGCCTGAGCTTGAGCCAAAGCATGGTTACTGTTCATTTGGTTGATGGATGAACATTGTACTAGCACTAGGAATAATAAATCTGGTCAATGATGTCAACTCATTAAAAGTGAATTATTGGACTCACTTAAGAAAACCGTAATTAGACTTATATAATAAAGGGGAAAAGCCAACAAATAAAAAAATAAAACAAAATAAAAAAGGATAGAATGAGGATTTGGAAAGAACTAAAAAAAAAATACATTGGAGGATTTGTAAGACATCTAATTACAAGAAACTGACAGATGGTTCTCTCCAAATTAAAGCCATCAATTAAAATCAACACTTCAGTCAAGGGTTGGCTGCTGGGAACATGTTAGTTTGCATATGAGAAGAGAGCAAATCTCCTCTAATGTCTTTCTGTCAGATAAAACAGAACAGATAATACACACTGTTCAAAAGTTTGGGGTCAGTACGATTTTTTACTGAAATTAATACTTCTATTCAGCAAGGAAATAAATTAATCAAAAATGAGAGTTAAGACATTAAAAATGTCACAAAAAATATATTTTAAATAAATAATGTTCTTTTTACTTACAATTGTTTAAAGGTCCCCTGACATAGAGTTATTTTATTATTTTATAATGTTTCCTGGGTTGCCCTTATAATGTTAGTATGTTTTTTAGATAAAAAATAGTCATAATTTAGAAATAAAAGGCATTTTTCCTAGCCTGATTTTAGCCTCTGATTTGAACGCTCTGTTTGAAGTGGCGTGTCTGCTGTGGGATTCAGTGTAGCCAGCCACTGCTGTGATTGGCTGACATGCTTGCATATGAAATAGCTACGCATTACATGTGAAACTCTCTCAAATACTTTTACTACAGCTATTATACGTTTTTACTATTACAGCTATTGAGATTAACGTATCGTGAGAAGTTTTTAAAGTATTTAGATCTATTCCCATCACATAAAATGTTGCCGTGATGAGCATTGACCAAGCAGATTCAGTCTGTTGATCGCGAGAATAAAGATCTTATCATTGCAACGCAGTTTCTGCACTCTCTCTAATGCTTTCACCAATGCAAACACGACGATATAGTCAAGTCAAGTCATCTTCATTTATATAGCGCTTTTAACAATGGAGATTGTTTCAAAGCAGCTTTACAGAGATAAACATACAATTTAAGGTAACAGAGATTGGCTTGGCTTTATAGCGATTTTTGAATAATGTTTTTTTCCAGCTAAAGTTGGTTTTGATTGATTCACTTCCAGCAAAATTATCATTTGTTATTACATTAGGGGCCACTAAGACGACGGCGTTCTCTCTAAACAGACTTTAAACGCGAACCTGTGACCTGATGGCGTTCACATGCGCATTAAAAATTGATTCTACAAACTACTTGTCTTGCCTATAATTTGTATATATACAGTAAGAGCTTCGTTGTGCAGTGTAACGTGCGTCATTGATTTCATAACGAGTTGTCCAGATAAACTCGCGCTGTGTGGAAAGATTGTTCTTTGATCGCTTTCTGTATAATTTGTTCACAATTTAAATAAGATTATTTTCATCCTACTAAAAGAAACGATGTGAAGTTGATATTTTAGTCACTGGCTTGACTTACTGATTGAACGATTTTGAGAGAAGGATTAACTTACCTGTCTGAACTTGAACAATTAGCCTACACATCAGAAATTTTTGCTTGGTAGCTCAATCGATTTATTTTCAGACGTTCATCGAGTTGAGGAAACAGTCGTCGGTGAAATGTTTGGACCATACAAAACTTTGGGAAGTTGTGTCGGCGCATTTCCAGAGAAAATAAAATTAACCCACTGTTTCTTCAGAGGCTCGGATGAAGGAACTAAAAAATACTTTTGTGTTCATTTGTACATCCAAACACTGATCAACTGCCATGCTTCACTCGTTTGCAAGCCATGATATCTCTCGAGGAAAAACTCAAATCGCGCTCGCGCGTTCGTACTTTCTAGCTAATTTTCTCATGGGCGAGCCAAATTCTCTGGTCGGGCAAAGCAGAGAAAGGGGAGGTTACCTTTCCTCCATATAACGTCATACGGAGGAGATTCAAGATCAGCCCGTCTGAGCTTTCATTTTCTCAAAGGCAGAGAAAGATAGCTAAAGCTCGGTTTACACCGATTGACATTTCTAGCCACTGGGGGACCATATACAGGCTAGGGCAGGGGTAGGCAAGTTCGGTCCTAGAGAGCCGCTGTCCTGCAGAATTTAGTTCCAACCCTAATCAAACACACCTGAACAAGCTAATCAATGTCTTCAGGATTACTAAGGCTATGGGCAGGAGAGGTTTTTTTCAGTGTTGGAGCCAAACTCTGCAGGATAGCGGCTCTCTAGGACCGAACTTGCCTACCCCTGGGCTAGGGGAACTCATATTAATGTTAAAAAACCTCGGAAAGTGAAAATTTCATGTCAGGGGACCTTTAAAATATAGTTTTTTTTTTTTGTTGTTGTTGTTTTGGAGCTTGAGATGTTTTTGGCATGAAAAAAGCAACCAAAACAAAATTTCTCTTTTTTGTGTTCTATGAACTAAAGCAAATCATACAGGTAGGGAATTACATGAGATTAGAGTATAATGATGACAGAATTTAGATTTTTGGATGAACTACTGCTTTAAAAACAAATTATGGCTACTAAGTCACTGTGTCACAGAATCAGGTCACCTTTCAAAATATCTCTGAACACCCCTGGTGCATGATAGAGTGCGAGTCTGGTAGCCTTTAGAGAGGGAAGAAGAACAAGCACAAACAACCAAATTAGCAACTTTTTCCTTTTTAAAAAGCTTCAAAAGGCTTCAATTGTCCATTATAAATGTGGCTGTTTATTTCCCATGGTGTTATCTAGCTGTGTTTACAATTGTTCAAATGAATAAGTGTTGTTGTTTTTTTATTTGCTGTTTTTTTTTTACATTGGATGCAATACTTTTTTGTCATATTTACAAACCCTTGATAAACTAATGAATGCAAATGTAATGTGTATTGAGCAGGCAGCATGCTAATGGGTAAATGTAATCGTTCTGTTTGTTCAGAAGATTATGGGTAAGAAATTAAGGTAGACTTTTCTAATAACTTCAGTTAAGTAATGGTGCAAATCGGTGCTCATGTTTCACTGATGCGCAGTAAAGCTACATGTGTTTTTTTTGTTTTTTTTCTAGAATACCCTGATGTTATTTTGTGTTGAGCAAAAAAAAATTGAAATGAAATCAATAAAAATGATATATGGCTGTTCTCTGCTTAGACGTGGAGACGGGGTTGGAGGTGCACAAGGTCACGCGGCCACCGGGCTTCAATGCCAACCGGCGGCGCAGTAGAGCTGTGCTTTACCAGCTGTCTGGACACCTGCAGAAACAAGACAAGAGCAAACTCAAGATCAACAATGTAAGTCCTTAAACTCTCAGTTACAATGTCTTATGCTATAAACCTGGATTAACCCTTAGCATGCACAACTTCAGCAGTGCAATATTTACACCATTGGCATTGAATATTTCAAGTATTACAGAAGTATAAAATACAACAATGAATTTGTAAAGCTAAATAAATAGATGAACAATGTTGTGTTCACTTATGAGAAAAAGTCATCAGTGTGGCTTTTCAGGTTGTTTACTTCTTCTCAAAGGTATTGGATTATTTAATTCATTGTGACTGAGCAGCACACAGCATAATGTTTATAGAAATATTGATTAAAGTTAAAAATGTAACTAAAAATTCATTAAACATTTCTGTCTGAACATTGCTTCATTTAGAACATGTTTGGCGAGAAGCCGCCCATCCCAGAGTACAAAGTGGCAGCCATTCAGAAGAGCCGTTTCATTCTTCTCCATTATGGCACCTTCAAAGCTGGCTGGGATTGGCTGATCCTGTTAGCGACCTTTTATGTAGCAGTTACTGTTCCCTACAATGTTTGTTTCACTGTTGTTGGTGGACGGGATGAGTCATCGACCCCTAGAAGTCCACCGAGTGTGAGCGACATCCTTGTGGAAATCCTTTTCATGTTAGGTAAGGCTATAGTTTTTGTAGTGTCATTAGTTTAGCGAAAAAAAAAAAAAAAGTTCTGTCTCAGTAATGTTGTCTGGGTGATATTAAATGTCGTTTGATCCCATTGCCTGCTAATAAAGTACCCAGAATTGTAACACAATTCTGTTATTGTTCTGGTTTCTGTGCTGTGCAGACAGTCTTTTATATCACAGAGGTGATATACTGCCAGACATCTTTCAATTACTCTCGGAGCTAGTAAAAAGTTCAAGATGTTACTAAGCAAACGTCATTAAAACACATCTAGCAATTATAAAGCCTTAAAAACACGAGAAACTGAAAAGATTTTGAAGGACAGTTCAGCAAATACAAATGCTAAAGATATGTTTTATAGTTCAAAAATAACTCTTCAGAAGATTTTTTCTAATTCATTTATGAGTAAAGTAAGATTCCTATCTGTAGCTATAGAGGGTATGCATTGACGTCACTTTCCTGTCGGGACACGCCCCCCTCAGCTGGACTGAGTGGCAAAAGAGCTGCTGCATGACTGGAGTTAATAGGGGAAACTGCAAAAACACAAGTAAAACAAAAAATAATCAGTTTAAACTAAAGGTTGGACTCGATATAGTGTTCCTTACAACTTACCAAAGATCCAGTGATCATGGATATTGACATGCAGCCAGGAATCATGTTTCCTGACATTTATATGTGCCTGATTTCCACGCCGGGGAAATACATAAAGCAAATTTTCCTTTATATAAATACAATATAGGTAGGTCTAAATCCATGTGATCACTTAAATCAATGTTAAATATCGTCATATCGTCCAGCCTTAAAACTTATATAGTTTTTTGTCAGTGTTTATTTAAAACGTCCAATTATGCAGAATATACGATGATAATTATTTAATTGATGAGTTGTCAATACTATAGAACAACAATACAATATATAGCCTAGGGAATGGTTTTACCCCTAAATTCAGCATATTGACACAGAATGATAACTGCAAATCCATATTTTGCTGCCTGGAGTCCAGTTGTTTCTATGAATTGCAGCGATCCATTTGGTTCTCTGTTCTGTAGCTTTCGTCAGTCTGTAAAAATATACCTCAGATTTCTTGTCAAATCTAGTTGTACAGTCAATCGCAAAGCTCTTACCAGTTTTAGATGTGTTTTTCGCGCCATTCAGGCTGAAAACAAATGCTGCCATTCAGTCTTTTTGCCACTTAGTGGGCGTAACCGCAGTCCCTCCACCCGATGGTGACGTCACGCGCATACCCTCTATTGCCATACAGGTTAAGGATATACTCGTATACAAATCAATTAGACAAAACATCATATCTCCAGCCATCACCTTTATATTAGAAATCCACAGTGTGTGGATAAGCTTTTTAGCACTGCTTAAGGGCAGTTAGTGTTTAATGACAGGATCTGTTTCTGCCCATTAAACACAATTTCATAATGTAGAAAAAAACTCTTTGTATCATCAAAACATTTGCAAAGAAGTGCCTAAAGCCATTTACTAAACTGAGCTTCTATTAAGTGCTACTGTATGTGTATGTTCCATTAAATAGTATTATAGTCACTACCCAGACCAGACTTATATAACCTGTCACTGAACGAGGTAATGATTAAAATACAGTTTTCTGTGCTTTAATAATACATTTATTAATTTCTTCTCTTTTTTTCTTTTTTTCCCTGTGACAGATATTTTGCTAAACTTCCGCACCACATTTGTGAGCACATCAGGCCAGGTGGTGTATGATGGACGATCTATCTGTGTGCATTATGTCACAACCTGGCTCTTCGTGGACCTGATTGCTGCGCTACCTTTTGACCTGTTGTATGCCTTCAATGTCAGCGTGGTATGTTAATTTAGCTTATTTTTATGCAATTTTGAGCCAACTGTTTATTCACAGTTTTAAGTATCTATGTATTTGTGTTTAAATAGTTTTTTAAAGGCACAATATGTAAGATTTTTGCATATAAATATCCAAAAACCACTAGCACAGTGTTATATATTTTGTTCACTTGTGTACTTGCGTTATCCCAAATGATTCCAAAAATGTTTAAATACAGATAAATTTGCAATTTTAACCAGTGTAGCGTCCCTCCTCATTGGTTCGGCTGTGAATTTTGTCATTTCCACGTCGGATTGATTTGCATTGGAGGTAAAGGTGACAACTCCCAGAATTCCACGCTCCTTCACAGCGTCATCAAGCTACGCCTTTGTTATTGTTTTGAATATGTGACTTCTATCAGCGAAAACTACATACTGTGCCTTTAATGGGCCTCACACAGAGCTTTGTGGGACACACACACCATATTTTATATGATGCTGCTGGGCATGCCATCTTAAGTAATTATTAATACTATAATTTTCTTTTGAGCTATGCATTCCATCTCTGTGTGTTTAGTACTTTGGAGTTCATCTGCTGAAGACTGTTCGATTATTACGGCTTCTACGCTTGCTGCAAAAGCTGGAGCGCTACTCCCAATACAGTGCAGTTGTACTCACATTACTTATGTCGATGTTTGCCTTGCTGGCACATTGGATGGCCTGTGTCTGGTACGTAATCGGGCGCAGCGAGATTGAGAATAACAGCCCTGGTTCCTGGGACATTGGTGAGTATCATATCTACAAACTGTCAACATAGCTGTATCAAACTTTCAAATTTATTTAAACAGATTCTTTAGGTCAGTTTTTCCCTTGAACTGGCTGAGCTAAAATCAAAAATTATGATTTAAAAAATGTTTACTAGATGTTTTATGAAACCAGATAATGTAAGTGAAATTAAAAAGTCAACAACAACAAAAGAAAAAAACTGAATGGCAGTTAGGATATTAGCATAAGTACTGCTTCAGATCAGATGCTGGCCTTATTTTGTATATGTTTTCACAGTGTCTCATACACAAGGATCATTATTGAAGATGTCTGTCCACTAACATTCTTATTACATTGAAAATGTACGACAACCTCTTCATGTGCCTTACAAAAAGAGTTCAGATTACAAATGACTTTTCAAATCAGGTAGACTGAAAAACAAGCCAGACGTAATGCGTTTTGTTAGAAGGACAGAACATTCTCTGGCTCTTGACCGGCGCACCTCTAAAGACCTGATGAGACAGTCTCCGATATAAGACATTATCTTCACGTCATGTCAAGTCTAACTCTGAACAAACTTACCTTTTTCACATTTGTTCATGAACAAGTGAATTACTGTATCAATTTGACTGGAAATGAACCTCTCTCTCGGTCTCCCATGTGCTGCTCTCCACATGAAAGAGAAAAAAAGACCAAGGGTAAAATAAATGGCTGTAGTGCACAGAAGAGTGTATGATGACATTGATATGATCTAGACCGCATTTAGTTATGGCCCTCTATTTTGATTAGCCTTTTTACTGACTGTTTCTGCAGGTTACATAGTTACAGCAGTAGGTAGCGACAAATGACTGTCTTTATGACTGAGTCATTGAATCAATCATTCAACTGATTCGGTCAAAAACATTAATAAATTCAGTACGGTCACTGCAGTGAGACTGCTTTGATCTCAACAAAATAAAAAAATAAATCTAAAAGGTTTAAAATGTAAGTTACTCAATATTAACATATTGCTTTTACTCACTCGTTTAATCGTGCTGTTGATCCAGTTACTTACAACTGCACTCATGCCTGTGTGATATTGCTCAGTCACTGAATCGAATCATGTTCAGTGTATCGATTAAATTAAATCGATAGAAACCAATTTTTAAACTGAATTGACAGAAACCAATGATTTGTGAATTGATTAAAAGATTCACACCCATATATAAATGTAAATTGATATAATATATCAATTAATTTACATTAATTCGTTCAATTCCTGATACTTGGTGAGATCCATAAGTGGCTTTGGCTAACATTTGGTGTTGTTGTCATACACAAAAGCCTCCTTAAAATATGGGTGTGTCCAACCTATTCGCACATATTATTTGAGAATTTATTAGTAGAAAATCCCCTACAATATGCCCACAGTCTAACACCATCTGTCATGTCTAATGAAAGCAATTCTGATTAGCCTCAGCATCAGTAGTAACCTCAGGCACATCTGAGCCCTAACTGACCACTATACCACACTGGCTACTGGCCAGCAGTTTAAATTTCATCCACATGTTCTCCTGAAAAGCAAGGATACTACTCCAGTATCCATTCTCTGCTGGTGTTGCCAACTTGCCAACAATATCACACACCATTCCCTTTTGCCCAGTTTTACATTGGCCAGCCATTAAATATTAAGCACATGAGGCTGTCTTGACACATTTAGTTTTGCTAGTGGAAATGGAAGTCTGTAGCATTCTGCACATCAGATGGAATATTTAGCACTGAAATACATGACACATCCAATGTGTAATGAGACTCAATTTTTTTTACAGTTCGGCTTTCAAATGGTGAATGTAGAATATTGTAAATGTTCTAGATTTACAAAAAGCTGTTTTATATCTGGTGAGTACCAGTTTCAGATTGGCTCTTTACAGCTATTATTATTTGTGGAATCTTGAGATAGTGTTATTGATAGTAATGAAATATTGAAGTAGTTTTGAGTAGTGCTGTCTATCTTTGTTGGAAATGGGGAAATGAAAGAATGTAAATGGATTGGAGTTCTGCTGTATCAATGATGAAAGGTTTCTCTGAGGGTTCCTCCAGGAGCTGATTGAACTCTTGTTGCTCTGCGCCTCTGTCTCTGTCTTTTTTCTCCATATCACTCTCTTCACTGCCATCACCTCAGCAGAACACTGTTTTTTTTAATGGCTAGCTGCCAGGCAGACCTTGAGAGACTAGAGAGGATTTTCAAGTTGGCTCCAAAAATCCCAGTGTCAAATCAGCAAACTTCTTGATTCTTTTTTAAGTGGTTGGGAAGAGAATACCGATTGCCCACTATTATAAATATATTATCCTTTTTAGTCTTGTTATGACAGGAATTTTAATATCCTCTTCTTGCCCATCAATCTGCCTCATCTTCCTCAACCAACACTGATTCGGTAGCCCTCTATTTCTGCTTGAGGATCCTGTAAGCTTGAAAGTAAGCTTTCATGTGAACTTGTCCTTTTGTCCCTCCTGCAGTGATTTACAACCCAATGTAAGCTTTGTGGTCTGAGACACCATTTTTACATTCATTTGCAATTTTCTAATCATAGTTTCATCCTAAATATACAGCAGGATATGTAGAGTATATCTCTTGATAGGCTGTTCCAACAGTGGCATTAATGGTATAAATTAATCTTCGGTGATGCTGTTTGCATGTATACATTTGCGCTATTCATTCTAAAAGGTTGTAAGTATGTCAAGCACGGGTTGATGGCTGTTTTTCACAAAATAAAATGCACTCTGTCATCAAGTGCAATTGAATTGTCAAAATCTCAAATAATACAAATAACGTGACAGGAAAGCGGGCATAAATCTCTGTGGTATCTGGAGGAATCTCTCACTAACACACCAGCTTCACCCAGTCAACCCACACAAACATGTGTTTTCATGTTTTCTGGGGACTTTCCATAGACATACTTATTTTTATACTGTACAAACTGTATATTCTATCCATTAACCCTACCATCACAATTTTACATTTTCAAAAAACATCATTCTGTATTATTTATAAGCTGTTTTCCTCATGGGGACCAAACATGTCCCAACAAGGATTTTGGAGTTGGCTCCAAAAGATGGATATTGCCATCTTTGTGGGGACATTTTTTTTCCACATAACATAGGGTTTACCAGGAGCACACACACACACATGCAAATTTTAAGTTTTGATGCCTTTAAATATAAAATAATATCTATTTTACCTCTACATTGTTGATTGTTGGTAAGTTAATATGAATGCAGCTACTTAAAATATACATTATTTAATCATGGTTGTGATTCTGGGCCAATTTTAACATTACTTGTTAAAAATTAAAAGATGTAATCTTGAAAATGTGTGAGGAACATTATTTAACTAAAATGAAATAGCTTAAGATTTAGTTATTTAAAATATTAACAATGTAGGTCCTTCTTTAAATGCACATTTTTCCTGCCAGCTAAAATCATTACTACCATATAAAAATGAAACCTATTATATGTAATATTATTAAGTATTAAAGCAATTATTTTACTTTGAGGTTAGGTCTTATTTGAGATACAGTGGGATACTGCTGGGAATACAATTAGTGTAATGGAGCAATTATAACACTTTGGTGCAATTATAACACTTACCAAATCTTTCTCAATGTAAATATTTAATGGTACTTATTACATACTATTAGTAGTAGTCAAGGTTTAAAATACTTTATATACTTTTTAAAAAATCTGGTCAATAAGTGATATTGGTTCTGAAAGCAAAAGTGAAAGTGAGAGAAATGAGGAAAGTTAGAAAGCAGATATCTTGGCCATGGACATCATGAAAGACAATTCTGCCTATTAGCATATAAGGATGTATTACAGTCAACGAAGGGAAGACTTTGGATGTTATATGTCAGGAAAGGAATGACCAAGGTTTCTGGTGTATGTGTACATGAGAAAGGTCTTGTAAACTGGAGCTGGTCGCTGTGTACATGAAAAACTGTGTGTGTTTGTGTATTTGTGAAGGTTTTGTGTGATTGACAACTGCTAGCTAAAGGTTCTCTGGCACTTTTTTTCCTCTCAATCTTCATTCCCTTTCTGACCTTTCACACTTCTCTCCATCTCCCTTGGGACTTTTTCTGGTTTTTCCAAAATATCACTTCTAATGCCACATACTACCTCCAAACTAGAAGCTTACAGACAAACAAGCATGGAGAGAGAGAGAGAGAGAGAGAGAGAGAGAGAGAGAGAGAGAGAGAGAGAGAGAGAGAGAGAGAGAGAGAGAGAGAGAGAGAGAGAGAGAGAGAGAGAGAGAGAGAGAGAGAGAGAGAGAGAGAGAGAGAGAGAGAGAGAGAGAGAGAGAGAGAGAGAGAGAGAGAGAATCAGTCCCATGGGGAACAAAAGTAGAGTCTCCAAAAGAAGTTCCAGCCTACTGCTAACCAACTGATGTTAAAAATGCTTCAGGTTCAGCACCATGGACAGGGACAACTGCTCTATATCTGCTCAGTTCTGAGAGTGGCCATTTACCCACTGAAAAACTTATAGGGGTGCCAAATCAATTACATTTTGGGTAGTTAGTGCCAAACACAAATGAAAAAAATAAATAAATTAGATTATAAAACCATCACCAAAACTACAATAATATTAGGATTGTAGATAATTTCACTGGCCAAAATAATTGAGTCTGCAAAATAGTAAATGTAAAAGTGTCATCTTACATTTTCTCTTCCTCTTTCTAATAGGCTGGTTGCATGAGCTGGGTAAACGTCTGGGCACCCCCTACTTCCTGTCCCCTCTTGCATCCCTCATTCCTGAATCACTGCGCCCCACCATCTTGGATGGATTGGTGGTCAATTCAAGCCAGGGAAGCGGCACTGATTTAGTGGGACATGAGTCTGTGTGGAACTTGAGCCAATGGAACACAACAGGAGCAGGTCCGGTGGGCACTTCAAATGCTGGACAGACTGCAGCCGTATTGGGAGGCGGGCCCTCGATTCGGAGTTCATATGTGACGTCCCTGTACTTCGCTTTAAGCAGTCTGACCAGCGTGGGTTTTGGCAATGTCTCAGCCAATACTGACTCAGAGAAGATCTTCTCTATCTGCACCATGCTGATTGGAGGTAATTGCAAGAGAACACAGATACACGTTTTTAAATGATTGTGAGGTTTGAATTTATAATGTTTCACTACATAGATGTGCCAATAACCCTTTCCAAATATTGATAATTTAATCTTTTGATACCTGAAATTAAGTGTTCTTTTTTTCTTGATCAGCTTAAAATATCTATAATACTGTGCTCTACTGTTTAAAAGTTTGGGTTGGTAAGATTTTTTTTAAATGCATTTGAATATTATTAAAATTTTAAAATGTTATTTATTCCTGTGATGGCAAAATTCTGAAACTAATTTTCAGCAGTCATTGCTCCATTCTTCAGTGTCACCTAATCTTTCAGAAATCATTCTAATATAGTGATTTGGTGCTCATTTGAACAATTTCTTGCTGCTTAATATTTTTTTGTGAAAACAATTTTCAGGAATTTTTTACTACTTAAAATAATAATAATAATCTACCGGAGGTAAATCTACTTTTATTTTGTGTGTGCAAGAATAAAAAAGAAGAATTAGGGATAATCAATGAATTCTGATGAATTTACTGGCATTTTGTGAATATTAAGTAATATATGTGATCAATAAAAAAGTGAATATTCTGATTATGAGTATTTTAAAATGTAATGTAATCTAATTACAAGTATTTAATTTTTGGAATCGGATTATGTAATCCAGATTACGTATAATCAGTAACTATCCAGCACTGACCATCGACCACTACCTTAAACATATTTCTAGAAACATGATTGTTCAGTGCATATTTGTATAATAGTCCTGCAATTACCTATTTATGTCACTGGCCAACATTCAGTATGTCTCACGGCATGTTGCATTGATTGTTTCTTTGCAAAACAAGGGATTTGATTCAGTCTGTATTTGTTTGTATGGTTCAAAACTTAATGTTGGCATATTTGTCTAGACTCTTAGTAAAAGGCTGCTTACGTTGGGTACTCTTAGCTGTTTTATGCTAACTTGACCGCTAGGATTCGAATGCCACAGAAATGGAGCTACTTGTTATCTGCTGGGACAGCTGTAATGATTTTTGTGGCTGCATGTGCCCCATGTGGATTCGAGGGAGATGTTGTGACAGTGGACTGAATTTTAAGGCATGTCCTCTGGGCCATGAAGAGAGAGACTCAGGCTTCATTGCACTTAAGAGGGGCAAATAAGGCTGGTTGAATCCATGCACACTCACATACATGCACACTGAATCAATCTGTCACCAATCCTAACACTAAGGGCCATTACTGTCACAGCCAGCTGACAGCTGGGCTCCTAACCACACACACAGATCATACACACAGAGGGTATTTGGGGAACACTGATATGCCTTAGACTAAAAATTACCATAATTACGTCAAACGACAAATTTTTCGAACTCCTCCTAGGCCGTTGCTCCGACTTTCACTAAAATTGAACCAGATCATCTTCAGACCATGCCGAGAAAAAGTTACGGAATTCATGTCGATTCGTCATACCGTTCTTGAATACTGCGCTAACTAATTTTACGTAGTGTTTGCAAAAACAGACGTAAGACTGTATCTACGCAACGCTTTATCGTATTCAGACCAAACTTGGTACATCTAATCACAAGCAAGACCTGAGGCAACATGCTGTGTTTCAGCGCAGCGCCACCTATTGGTCCGCAGATACGAAAAATGCCTAATTTTACTTATAACTTCTGAACGTTTGTCCAAAAATCATAAAAGTGGTCTCGTTAGATTCAGGGCGTCATGGCGAGTCGACTGACCATATCGACCATTTTAGGCGTCGGCCATTTTGAATTTTGTACCAAAATGCTGTATTTTATGAACGCATGATTGTATAGTTATGAAACTCGGTATGGGTCATCAGTACGATGGCCTGAAGGAGCCTTAGAAGTTTCAAACCAGCGCCACCTAGTGGTAAAATAAATGTTTCAAATGCTTATAACTCTGGGTGTGGTCGACTTATTTTCACGGGGGTAATCTCCTTAGGTTCCTGAATCCTTGCCGAGTCCAACGATATCAAACCTGCTAGGTTTCGCCTTACGGTTTGTGTAGCGTTGTGATTTAGCGCTTAAAAAACATTTGCCAATATCTTCGAAACCGTTAGACCAATTGAGACGAAACCACCGTAGGAAGTTTGGAAACATACGTCGTTGGTTCAACATTATAGCCCAAATGACAAAATATCAATAGTAAGTGGCAAGAAAATGCAAACAAAGTCAGGTGTGGGTCATTTTTTATGGGTTTATACATATAAATGTCTATAACTTCAAAACAAAATGAGATATTTTCACCAAATTTGACACACACATGTATGGGCTCACTCTGAGAACACACAAAAAAAGTGGTGGAACTGCGCCACTTGGAGGCGCTATCATAGAACAAAACAAGGTCATTGCCATTAATTACAAAATAATATCATAATATTAAATGCAACACTTTACGGAATGCATTGGTGTACCGTTACAAAACTCTGTATGTGTCTTGATAATCCATTAATTCATATTTTTAGTTACAGTATAAATGATTTTTCAGCCATTTTGCCAAAAATCATCTTTAAATGTCTTTAATTTCTCATTGTTGCTGTTGGTCTGACACTCCCAGCCATGTTGGCATGTCTTATTGTCTTAGCGCTTGGCCCCGATAATTGCTGCTATTGCAGTATTTATTATTAATGATTTATATTTACTCTGATATACTGTACATCGTAATAGGGAAGAAAAGATCGTAGCTTCTGTTTCATGCCTTATGTTGTTTTAAACCTTGAAGATGTAAAAGATACAAAAATCAAAAGATGAATATTTCAAAAATATTTAATGTGTTTTATTGTTCCATACAATGAAATTCAATAGGGACAAAAGATGAACCCAACTGACTTTAATTGAATGGAGAAAGAACATAAAAATATGTTCCATAGAAGATAGAAAGTCATACAGGTTTGGAACAATATGAGGGTGAGTAAATGATGATAAAATTATTATTTTTAAAGTAAACTTTCCCTTTAAAAATGTCTTCTAAAATTCATTCAGAGAAATAAAAATAGAAAGAAATGAGTAAGAGTATAGCGTGATAAAATGGATGTGGATACCACTTGTTTAAGTATGTTTGATTTCATACTGGCTGCACAGTTTGGGACTCAAGAATAAATAGAAATTCAAGAATAAAGAAAAAGTCTTCATATAATCTCACTGCTGTATTGGAGAAACAATTCAGCAAGAGAACTCATTTGTCCTTGCTACAGGAATCAGGTGATTGAACCAGGATTTAATTGCTCATATTCATTTTGTAGCCCTATTTGAAGATTTTCATGGATTTCAGCACAAACCTCATCCAAGCACTCAAAAGGCACATAACCCAGGTGCAGCCACTTACTCTGAGGACAGTTCTCAAACAGAAGAGCAGCTTGCAATTTCCGCAACAATGGAAGACACTCTCCAGACACTTTATGTAGACACTCTCCAGTCCTTCTTGATTGTTTACACTCATGTTGGCAAAGTTCACGATGTTAAATAAATAGATGATACAGAGTTTGGTGGTGGAGTGAAAGTAGTTACGCTGAACAGAATATATGCAGTCGAAAATGTAAACACTGAAAAGATGAACAAAACGGATTGAGCTGCAAACCAGCATGCTGTCAACTGACAATGAGATAAACAATAGAAAGAAAACAGGCTGGTGTAAGATGCTAAAACTTTCTCACTATATGACTAAATGAAAATGCCACTTAAAATCCATCTCTGGTTAGATCGGGTGAATCCAGTCACATGTGGAGATCACAAAGATTGGAGATTGCATTTGTGGCATAAACCTGAATGCATTCTGATGCACAACAGGTGAATGACTGTCCATTGCAACGTAATAATGGTTTTCAATTTTGTTAGCTAGGTGTAATAAACACCACGTGTAAATGACAATCTGCCTCTGGGGCAATTTACATGACAGTGTTTTCAACTATAAACGGAAAACGTTTTCTGCATTTTTGCTGATTTGGAGGCCTGAAAACACAAACATTTGAAAACGATAACGATATTGTCTCTGTGTAAACTACAAAAATGCAAATTTGTGAAAACGGTGACGTCATGTGCATGCTTTACGTGTTCAGTATATATTGCATAGTGTTTCTTTAAAAAGTAACAACATGGCGGATGTAGTACGTCCGGATTACATTCATACTACACACATTTATTCTAGAACTTTGCACTGCATTTGTTTTAATCTGTGTTCATGCATTCTTTTGAGTTTTCTTCTTTTAATTTAGTCTCTCTTAATGTTAGAGGTTTAAGAGATCATTCGAAAAGGAAAGCGTTATTTCTGTATTGTAAACGCTGTAATGCCGATTTTATTTTTGTTCAAGAAAGTCATTCTTGTGAATCAGACAAGAATTTTTGGAAAACTCAGTGGGGTAATTCAATCTTTATGAGTCACGGATCCAATCGTTCTGCTGGTACTCTAATTTTGATGCATAAATTTAGGGGAGACATTTTAGAAACTTTTTCATCCGATGAGGGTAGATGGATCATTTTGGTATGCAAGATCGAAAATGTGGTATTTATTTTATGTAATGTTTATGGGCACAATTCCCGAAATGCTAATGCATCCATGTTTAAAGAATTGGGAGCTAAGCTTACAAGTATACAAAATCGTTTTATTAATGCTTATTTTATTATAGCCGGAGATTTTAATGAAACCCCTGACGACGCGCAAGATAGATTTCCTATAAGAACTAGGCCTACTTCTAATTCACCTGATAATATTATTTTATGGTTGTGTGAAAATCTTTCAGTGGCGGATGCTTGGCGTTTCTTTAACGATGGCTGTAGAGGCTTTACTTGGTCCAACAAAGCTGGATCGCTTAAAGCTAGAATTGATCTTTTTCTAATTTCTCACGCTATTTTGAAAGATGTACATTCTGTTAATCATCAATTTGCCCCGTTTACTGACCACATGTTAATTTCTTTGAATCTTGCTCAAGGCAGTAAGTTAAACAGAACAAGGGGTTACTGGAATTTTAACTGTTGTCTTTTGGAAGATGACAAATTTAATGAAAGTGTAATTCAGCTAGCTAACTCTATGTTTAGTAGTACTGAAAGCGACCCTGGCTCTAGCTGGGAGTTTTTTAAATTTAGGGTTAGAGCCATTGCTGTTAATAGAAGTAAGCAAATTAAAAGAGAAAAAAACATTAAAGAATTAGAACTGATTCAAAGATTAAGTGTGTTAATGCAGAAGGAAAAGCCCAGTGAAGAGGATGAGGTAGAATTGAGCACATGTCAGTTGCAAATTGAAGATATGTACACAGAGATTGTTAAAGGTGCTTTTATACGCTCTAGAGCAAAATGGATCGAGAAGGGTGAAAAAAACACTAATTACTTTTTTGCTCTTGAAAAAAGAAATCGTAAAAAGACATCCCTCTCTGCCTTAAACATTGATAGTGTTGTATGTACAGATCCAGGATTGATTTCAACCTTTGTATATTCCTTTTATAAAAAATTGTATACTTCTCAGTTTTCTTATCGGAAATCGGACGACTTCCTTTTGAGTATTCATAAGATTTCGGGTATTAAGGAAGATTTTAAGCAACTTTGTGATTCTGATATTTCTATTGTTGAAATGGAGGATGCACTGAAATCTATGAAGAGGGGAAAATCTCCAGGTACTGATGGCTTGTCTGTTGAATTTTATTTACATTTCTGGGACATTTTAAAGCATCCTCTACATAGTTTGTTTAAAGACTGTATTAAAAAAGGAGAGATGACTCCCTCAATGAAGCAGGGTCTTATTTCCTTGATCCCCAAAACGGATAAAGACCCACTTTTAATTGAAAACTGGAGACCTATATCACTGTTAAATGTTGATTATAAATTACTTGCTTTAATTTTGGCAGTTCGCTTAAAATCTGGCCTTAATAGTATAATTGGCGAAACACAAAATGGATTTATGAAAAATAGGCATATTAGCTCCAACATAAGATTAGTTCTTGATCTTATTGATTATTCAGAGAATATTGATTCCGAAGCTATTATAATGTTTTTGGATTTTTATAAAGCATTTGACTCTTTAGAGCACCAATTTTTGCTTAAATCTCTTAGCCTTTTTGGTTTTGGAAGTAACTTTATCAACATGGTGAGCATGCTTTATAATGACATTAACTCTTCAGTGCTGGTTGGCTTTCAAACTACTAAACGTTTTAATTGCGATAGAGGAGTGCGCCAAGGTTGCCCCATTTCTCCATTTCTTTTTCTGTTAGCTGTTGAACTGTTATCAATTGTAATTTTACAAAATCCCAGTTTAGAAGGTATTTCTTTATTTGGTAAAGAATTTAAAATATCTCAATTGGCTGATGATACAACCATATTTCTTAAAGATTAAAGTCAAATTCCCTTGTGTATCAATATTATTAATTCTTTTTCTGCTGCCTCAGGCTTATATTTAAATGTTTCAAAGTGTGAATTATTCTGTCTTTACGACACTCAACAACCATTGATGCATGATATTCCGGTAAAAGACTGTGTCAAGTACCTGGGGATTTTCCTAACTAAAGATAGATTGCTCCGCCAACAACTTAATTTCTCACATAAAATACAGAAAACAAGAACCATATTTAATTGTTGGCTGCAACGAGATCTGTCAATCTATGGGAGAGTACTTATTTCTAAAGCAGAGGGTTTGTCTCGTTGTGTCTTCTTTATCTTTATTTGTTAGTGATAAAATCTGTGATGATATTGACAAAATCTTATTGAATTTTATTTGGAAGAACAGACTTCACAAAGTTAGGAAATCTGTTTTGTCTAATAGACGTTCTGAGGGTGGACTGGAAGTTTTAAACTTTAAAGAATTAGTCAGCTCTTTTAGAATTAGTTGGTTGAAAAAATGTCTTTGCAGTAATGGCTCGATTTGGTACTATATCCCCAATGCCATATTTCGTAGATCAGGTGGTCTAGAATTTCTGTTGAAATGTAATTTCGCCCCTTCTAAATTACCTGTTTCTCTCTCCAAATTTCACCAACAGGCTTTACTTGCTTGGAAATTGTGTTATGTGCACAACTTTTCTCCCCATAAGGAAATTCTGTGGAATAATTTGAACATTTTAATCCGAAACAAATCATTTTTTATTGATAAGTGGTATGATAGAGGTATTGTTTTTGTTTTGGATTTATTTAAAAATGATGGCAGTATACTGGAATATGAAGAATTTATGACTTTGTATAATTTTCCTCTCCCTGCTAGAACTTTCAACTCTGTCATCAAAGCTTTGTCTCCGAGTTATGTGCATTTATTTAAAACACACCTTTTCTTTAATGAGAGAAAAACAATTATGCCCAAGCTTTTATTGGATGGAGTTAGATTTATTGATAAAAAATGTAATGGTAAACTTATAAAACTATTGTTACATTACAAAGTTTACACATCCCCTCGATGTAAATTTTTCTGGAATAATTTGTTTGACAGTATTCAATGGAAAAGGGCGTGGTTACTCCCAGAGAAATATTGTATGTCTAATAAAATTAGAGAGGTTCACTTTAAGATTCTTCATAATGTTTACCCAACCAACTCACAAATTGCCTCTTTTGTTGATATCTCTGACCTGTGTGTATTTTGTAAGGTTGAGAAAGAAACTTTGCTTCATTTATTCTACCACTGCAATGTGATTAAGCCTCTTTGGGAGCGCTTGGGTTGTTATCTTTCTTATTTTATCAAATGTGATTTAAACTTTTCATTGAAAGATATATTTTTTTATTTTTCTGGGAGTGACTATGCCATTGATAATGTTGTTAATTTCTTTGTGTTGCATTGTAAATTTTTTATTCACAAAAACAAATTTCTCAAGACTTTGCCTAGATTTGATGTATTTGTTGCTGAGATTTCCATTATAGTTAAATCTCTTAAACTCATTGATAACAGCAAGAACAATACGTTTCTTAAGAACTATGTACGTTTTTTTCTTACTTGTTGATGAACCTCTTTTTTTGTTTGTTTTATTTGTTTCTTTCTTAATAATTTTTTTTTGTTGTTTTGTCTTTTTTGTTTTGTTGTTGTTAATGTAATGCAGTGCTTTGTATCGTCTTTGTAAAAGGAATTTAAATATAATAATAAAAAAAAAAAAAAAAAAAAAAAAAAATAAAAAAAAATTATTCTAGAACATACATTTTTAACGGCCTCAAAGTTCAAATTCAAATGTAGTACCTACTCAGACAGTACACAATTTTGGACACACCAGATGTCATGGTTAAAAATCATTAAATAATCACCTAAAATATTGGTTTGTTGTGTGTCTCCTACCAGCACTCATGCATGCCGCGGTCTTCGGTAACGTGACGGCCATTATCCAGCGGATGTACTCACGGCGCTCGCTCTATCACACTCGAACCAAAGACCTCAAAGACTTCATCCGCGTGCATCGGCTGCCCAAGGCTCTCGCGCAGCGCATGCTGGAGTGCTTTCAGACGACGTGGTCTGTCAACAACGGCATCGATGTCAGCGAGGTAGGACTTTAAAAGAACTTTCAATAATCTGTGCGCACACATGAATACATTGTCAAAACAAGTTCAGAATTTATAAATAATTTTACTATGAGTGTGTGCAGTCATGTGGGTGTATGAGAGCTGCTGTTCTTATTTACTCATTGAACACTTGGGATTTCTTGGTTTCTGGATGCCAAGAGTACGAATATCTTTTTCTTTTCTTTTTTTTCAGATAACAGTTAGTGAAAGAGTTGTTTAACATTTAGAAATTTTTGATGATCTTCAACTTCAGGAAGACAAACTATTGTACAAGTTGTGGGTTTGCCGTTGTTCTGTTGCCAAAGTTTTGACAATTTTTATTAAAATTGTGTGCAATTTTCTAGCAATAAACATTAGATAAACATCAAAATTAAATGTATATAAAATGAATAAATATTAAATTGGATTTGTAAGGAATGATGACCTTGAAATGTACTATATTTGTGGAAGGTGCCTCTTCTGAAGTGCAGTTATTTCAAGGCAATAAGCACAATTATATTCAATATTCCATGACTTCCAGCAGAAAATGTTAACATTTACAGAGAATGCATTTTGCATTCATCATTTCTATGACTATGGGAATGTTACGCTTCTTAATAGGAAATGCTGGATCTCCCATTGACCTGTAGCATTTAAAAATATAGGAAAACTAATAAACACTTGGAATTAAATATCATGCTCATAGTATTTTATATTTTATGCAATTTTTAGCTTCTCAATGCAACAGTTGGTTCCAATTCCCATTGCATATTATTGGGCTTCTTCATATTAATGATGTGATTTGATGCTTCTGTCTAAGATTAGAGCGTATTATCCTTTTCTATTCCTTTTCCACTTCACCATGATCTCTCATTCTGTTTCACAATATCTCATCTCTTTTATCATTTGCTTTATTTTCTCTTTCCACCCGCCTCTCGTTCACCATCTCATCCATATCTGTCGTGCTCATAAACAAGAGATTCCATCTTACACTCACAATGTATTTAATGAGTCCAATTCAAAACGTTACAATCGTTACATAACTCATAACCCACTCTCTCTGCTTTGATATCCAATGTAATATCCCATTAAAGTCCAAGTAGAAGACTGATCTACAGTTTCTTTTCTGCAGTTGTTTTTTTAATAATCAAACATAAATAAAAAAATGCTTTTTAAGAATGAGAAGTAAGTGTACTCTTGAAGTACTTAAAATAAAATATCTTTGTCCTTTCCCAGCTTCTGAAGGACTTCCCAGATGAACTGCGGGCTGACATTGCCATGCACCTGAATAAAGAGCTGCTGCAGCTGCCTCTGTTTGAATCGGCCAGTCGAGGGTGTCTCCGCTCTCTGTCGCTCATCATCAAAACCTCTTTCTGTGCTCCTGGGGAGTTCCTTATTCGCCAGGGTGACGCTCTGCAAGCCATATACTTTGTCTGCTCGGGCTCCATGGAAGTGCTTAAGGACAACACTGTGCTGGCTATACTGGGTGAGATTACACACAAACATTATATATACACACAATCGGCCTCAATGAGGAAACAAGAGCACAATGATTTTTTTTTTGTCATTGTACAAATAAGCAAAACAAAAAAAACATGTGACCACTGTGACTATTTACATAATGATGTAATGAAAGATTTGCGCAGAAATTTGCTCTGGTTGTGTTTAAGAAATGCTTGTTTTTAATAGATGACGCCCCAAATGTTCTTTTGAACTGTTTAACAAGAATTGTATATTGCATTTTAAACAAGTTTCAAACAAGTCAGCCTGCTCAAATAAACAGATTGCAATTCCATTTGGTGCCACTAGTGGCGCTAAAAATACACACATTTTATAAGTACTTATTTAATAAAAGTGGTAACCAGGTAAAATCTTTGAAATTAAAACAAAACAATTACATTCAGACTCAAATGTCATTTGTAACACTACAGCTATAGTGCAAAGACATTTCTGGGTGTCAGGCAAGCTGGCTTTTAAATTATAATTTCACAGCAATTTCAAAACCCATTTATATTTCTCCTACCTGTCACTATTAATTGTGCTTCCTCTGTGAGACTGAGACAGGCCAATACAATAAAAATTGCCCACACACGCACACATACCATCCATTAATATCACTGTATCATTTATGACACAACTCAGACATTATAAATGAGCTAAATAATGACTTTTTTAAAGCACCTCATCAAACAAACACACACTCACTTGCTCAGCGGATCTCATCCTCCCACTATCTGTAGTTCTCATTGTTCCGAGGGAGGATTCCCATATAATTTTCAAGTCTATTGAACCCCCTCCCCCCTTTACACAGGCACAATCGGCGCATTGGCTTCATTTTCTCATTAATTGGCTTCCTTTGTTATGCATATTAATGCATACATTATCTGTGAGATTCTGCTACTGTTGATGATGTGGATATGTACAGTTTCTTACATGACATGCCAAAACATACAAGCTCAGTTCCAAAATCTAGAGAGCTGCCTGCCTAGGGAACTAGTACCTTCTAAAGGTGCGGTCACATTTACTGTTTTTGTAAATGTATTCTGTATTCAGTCAGAATAAAGTAATTTCAATAGGAATCTGTTTCAAGCAAGGGTGAAAAAGGTCATTCTGTGTTCATGTATTGCTACACTATTGACAATGGACCTTTTTGCCGTGAAATTATGCTGAAATTTCGCTAATGTGACCTCATCTAAAGGCAACATTCTAACTGAAATGAAACGTCATAAGAGATGGACCTAAATTATCAAAGATTTTATATCAGGATGTAAATTTTACAACACGCATTTTTTTTTATCGTTCAAATAGCATTAAAATCAAACAAAATATTTTAAAAAAAAACTGCACATGCCCAACAATATGCTAAATTATTAACATGTTCATCACACAAAATGCTCTTAGCACAAAATGCTCTTAACAGGTTAACAAGCTAACAACACAATACTCTATAGAGCATAAAAAACACAAATTTTGTATCTATGATTTAGGTATTAAATGAAACATTTCTAATCTGTTTCTCGACCGGTCCGGCACCTTGAAAGGATTTTTTCACTGAGCTCATGGTAATGCATTCTGAGATTGCCGCCTTAGCCAAAACAAGATATCTTAGAAGGCAGCATAATTTTGTCTACCTTTTTGATTACTATGATCCCTTAAAAATTATTATCTGTTGGCAGCTTTCATAACAGCATCTGATACCTACAAATTCCTCTTTTTTCCCCATGAGCTATGTGTTGCTTTTGAGCAATTGACTGACCTAAGAGCGTCCTTCGCCAATAGCTGGTTGAAATATGAAGCCTGCATCCTGATGTTACCTTGTGCTTTCATGCCATAAGAGACATTAGAAATCCAGCTCACATGTACTTGAGTCTGTGATTGCTATTCCATGCACAGTGTCTGTAGTTCCCACACTTACATTCGCATTACTAACATTCTCTCCAGTCCTGTACTTTAAAGTTTATGTGAAGGAAAATGTTGACACACAAACATAACACTACGGCATAACGTGCATATCTGCAGGCAGATCTAGTATAGCCAATCAAATTTGAGTCAAGAGTGAGTTAACAGAGATATTTTCTGTTTAAATTTTGGAAATGTGTAAATATCACTGCACTGCAGAGTGCACTGCACTAGAAAAGGTCAGTGCTTTTTATGGTATTGTAATGCTTAATGAGCTGGGCAGGCAGCCCAGATGTGAAACCATGAGGATTCATGATTTGGTGACCTATGTGTCACTTAGCCTACTGGTTGCTGCAATAACCACCCTGTAAGTTACTTTTTTATAACAAATAACAATAATCAGAAATAACGTCAGCGTAAATGTCTTCTTTCTTCTGAAAATCTAGTGATATTACACAATGCACCCTGATATGACGTCTACAAGCTAAACATTAAATCTTTCAATTAGGCTGAAATGCAAAAATATACAGTTCATTTAACACATTCTGTTGGCAGGGATTTGAGAATAATACATTTAGATATTATTATTATTATTATTATTATTTAGATATGATTAATATAACTATCAATTTTTAACTAGATTCGATTAGTTTAGATTAAATTTGAAGCCAACACAGATAATGCCTGCTGGAGAAAAGCATTTATGCAGTGATATCCGTGTGACAACTAGCCCCGGTCTATATTAAAATTGTATGATTTCATTAACAAAAAAAAAATCTGTGCCTCATGTTTTATAAATGTAACACATCGCTAAAATTGTGAAATAACGTCTGCATTGAAAACAGAAAAAAAAAACATGGCTCTCTGAAAATAGTCACAACAGATACATAGCCTACATCAGTGATAAAATGCCTTTGCTGATATCCTTAATGGCTTGTAACTATGAGCTGAATTTACATAGGACCTTTCAATGTCATGCAGCGCTAATCAATTCGCTTCAATCCCATAGATAAAGACATAATCATAAAAACACATACATAATAGGAATGATAGGAAAGAAAAGCATGTAAACAGAAGCAAATTGGAAAAAAAATAAAATAAAATATTTGTGGTTTTATTTTAAATAGCAATCATTGTCATAAATAGATTCTGTTGATGGGTAATTTAATAAAACGGTGCTTACCTTTCTGCTTCATCTGGAAGTATTCATGGGAAATGTACATACAGTGGTGTGAAAAAGTGTTTGCCCCCTTTGTAAATATGATCAGAGATGGCTGTAAAAAATAAATCTGCATTGTTAATCCTTTTGATATTTTATTTAAAAAATTTGAAAAAAATCTAACCTTTCATTGAAGTAAAAGAATTGAAAGTTGGGGGAAAATCACATTATGAAATAAATGTTTTTCTCCAAAACACGTTGGGAACAATTATTTGCCCCCTTTTATTAAATACTTTTTGCAACCTCCTTTTTCCAAGATACCAGCTCTGAGTCTTCTCCTATAATGCCTGATGAGTTTAGAGAACACCTGACAAGAGATCAGAGACCATTCCTCCATACAGAATCTCTCCAGATCCTTCAGATTCCCAGATCCATGTTGATGCTTCTTCTCTTCAGTTCAGCCCACTCATTTTCTATGGGTTCAGGTCAGGGACTGGGATGGCCATTGCAGATGCTTGGTTTTGTGCTCAGTGACACATTTTTGTTTTGATTTTGATGCTTGTTTTTGGATCACTGTCCTGTTGGAAGATCCAACCACGGCCCATTATAAGATTTCTAGCAGAGGCTGTCAGGTTTTGATTTTTTATCTATTGGTATTTGAACGAATCCATGATGCCATATATCTGAACAAGATGTCCAGGACTTCTGGCAGAAAATTAGGCCCACAACATTAAAGATACAGCAGAGTATTTCATTCTACACATGGGGTACTTTTTATCCCTGTGTGCACCAAACCCATCTTAAGTGTTTGCTGCCAAAAAGCTCTTTTTTTTTGTTTCATCTGACCATAGAACGTTTGAAAAGTAACTGACACTACAGGAACTTCAAATGGGACGGGTTCTATGGTCAGATGAAACAAAAAAATTAGCTTTTTTGGCAGCAAACACTTAATGTGGGTTTGGTGCACACAGGGATAAAAAGTACCCCATGTGTAGAATGAAATACTCTGCTGTCTCTTTAATGTTGTGGGCCTAATTTTCTGCCAGAAGTCCTGGACATCTTGTTCAGATATATGGCATCATGGATTCGTTCAAATACCAATAGATAAAAAATCAAAACCTGACAGCCTCTGCTAGAAATCTTATAATGGGCCGTGGTTGGATCTTCCAACAGGACAGTGATCCAAAAACAAGCATCAGAATCAAAACAAAAATGTGTCACTGAGCACAAAACCAAGCATCTGCAATGGCCATCCCAGTCCCTGACCTGAACCCATAGAAAATGAGTGGGCTGAACTGAAGAGAAGAAGCATCAACATGGATCTGGGAATCTGAAGGATCTGGAGAGATTCTGTATGGAGGAATGGTCTCTGATCTCTTGTCAGGTGTTCTCTAAACTCATCAGGCATTATAGGAGAAGACTCAGAGCTGGTATCTTGGAAAAAGGAGGTTGCAAAAAGTATTTAATAAAAGGGGGCAAATAATTGTTCCCAACGTGTTTTGGAGAAAAACATTTATTTCATAATGTGATTTTCCGCCAACTTTCAATTCTTTTACTTCAATGAAAGGTTAGATTTTTTCAAATTTTTTAAATAAAATATCAAAAGGATTAACAATGCAGATTTATTTTTTACAGCCATCTCTGATCATATTTACAAAGGGGGCAAACACTTTTTCACACCACTGTAGCTTAAAGGCCCTTCAAAAATCCTGCTGGGAAGCTTCTAGAAGTATGATAACAGCAGGCGAAACTGCCTTCGGCCAATAGCAGTAGGAATCTTCATAATAAGCTCCTAACCTAAATGTGAATGATAGCTAAAATACATATTTACATATGCACTTTTTTTTGCTTTAAAGGAAATGGTTCACTCAAAAATGAATTGTCATTATATACTCTCAGGTCATTTCTATGATGCCCCGCACGACATG